CATAAGACACAGCTTGGATGGTTAGTCCCTTGTATACCAGATTTCCTAGCCCTTTAGTAAGGCCGAAATCATTGCTTCCTCCAAAAGTAACTCTTGGACCATCATAGGGAATTAGATTGCTCAAAAGGCTCGCATCACCCGTCATGTGTCTTGAACAGCCACTGTCTAAGTACCAGACACCTGGGTACTTAGTGGCTTCGTGCATTAGGAGGAGGAAGATTTTGGTACCCAATTAAGTTTGGGTCCGGAGTAGTTAATGGTGTGTGTCCCTACATCAAGTTTGAAGTTGCAGGGAATCTTCCTTGCAGCTCTAAACTTGTTGGGATTGTAATCATAGTTGTAGGCATAAAACTTCCTACGTGCAGGAGATGTTATTTCCTATTTCCTCCTAGTAAACCTAGGTTGATAAGACCTATGATTTTATCTAGGTGGTGCATAGTGTGTCCTGTGTCGGTTATAAGCATACTTAGGTGGCACAAATAGCTTCTGAGGTGGAGGGTGACTATATTTTGGCATAGTTCTCCACTCAGAATTTCTTGGAAAACTCCTGTCTCCCCCATAATGGGTATAGCCTCGTGTATAATGGGGGTTAGAAGGTTTTCTTTTGAAATTATTTCCTTTTTGAGGTTTGTCCAACTTCCTATAGTTCTTAGGAGGGACTACCTTTTTGGAAACTTCTGTTGGTTTTTCCTTTTCCGTCCCTTTCTGCTTATTTGGTTTAGCAGTAGGTTTAGGAGGGATGAAAGTTGTTTTCCCTTTCCTTTTAGAGCTAGAGGAGTCAAACCCAAGTCCTTCACGACACTTATGTTTGGTCGTTTCAAGAAGCTTATCCACTGCCTCTTTTGACTTAAGAGTCCCTAGTTCTTTGTTAAGGGATTTCACCTTTTCAGAGAGAGATTCATTTTCAGTCTTGAGTTGAGTGATCTCATTCAGTTGACTTTTCCAACCTTCAGTCAATTTGAGATTCTCTTCACTCAATAGTTTGTTCTCCTTTGTTAAGGAAGAATGTTTGAGATTTATCTCCTCAAAGTCTTTCATCATCTTTTTGAACTGGTCAAAAAGATTTTCAGAAGTTGGTATGCTTTCATAAGAAGATGAGCAGGAGGTTTGTGAGGTTACCTCTTGATCAGCATCATCTTTGGCCATTAGGCAGAGGGTGTCATCTTCTGACATGGTCCACCTATCCTCATGGTTGGACTTTTCAGCTCTACGCTCCATGCAGACGAGAGCTTCTTCATCCGAGCTTGAGCTGGATGACTCGTCACTTTCAGCAGCAACCATTGCCTTCTTTTTCTTCTCGATCCTTTCTCTTTCTCCGTACTTCTCCACTTTTGGGTACGGGCACGCTGACTTCCAGTGACCAGGCTTCCTGCAGTTGTAACACAAATAGGATTCAGGAGGGGAGTCACTTACCTGTGGCTTTCCCTTGGATGGCCTTCTGACTGAGTCAGCTTTCTTGAAGAACTTTTTGAACTTCCGGAATTGCTTGACCATCATGGCAAATTCCTCATCGTAGTTCTCCATTTTTGAACTTGACGGCTGGCTGGAGGAGGGTGTGTCACAGTTCCTTGGGCTTGTCCCTTCACTTGATGGGACTCTTGGAGTTGTCATCAGTGCCGTGGGGAAGGGAGTGACTTGTTCTTCCTTCTTCTTCTTCAGCTCGTGCTCATAGGTTCCGAGCTCATCAAGAAGACCTTGAACAGTGTAGTTCTCCAGATTTCTTCCTTCTTCCATGGCTGTGGCTTTGGTGTACCACTTAGTTGGAAGAGATCTCAGCAACCTTACATTCTTTTCTTTGGGTGAAAGAACGTGGTTAAGTGATGCAAGATCATTCAAGATTTTGTGGAATCTTTCATCCAGCATATCAAATGATTCTCCGGGAAGCATTTTGAAGCTTTTGAACTTCTCAAGCAGGACTTCTATCTTCTGCTTTCTCAAGTCCTCTGAACCCTCACATAGCTTCCCAAGACCTTGCCATATCTCCATGGCAGTCTTGAGGTGCTTAATTTTGGAGAAGGTGATGGGGTCAAGTGTCTTGAAGATGGCTGCTTTGGCGACGTTATCCAGATTGTGCTTTTTGCAATCTCTATCATCCCATTTTTCCTTGGGCTTTGGAATGTACTGGACTACGTCTGGAGTTGCTGGATTCCTCTCAGGATTCTCCATTTG